AATATATTATATTCCAATCTAGGGATTCTAGGGAAGGTAAGATTTTTTCCCGAGTAAGGCCATTGAGGTTCCGGAAAGTTATTGTTCTCGGTAGGATCGGAGGGGTTTGGATATTATAGGATATTTGGATTAGGTCATGCGATGATAAAAAAGAAACTGGTAATTGGGAAGAGGAAAGGAGGTTTTGAGCGGAATCAATAATGTACAGGTCCAACCAAGTGTCGGACCTTGCGGTGTGATGCGTAGCAGAAAAAGGAACGATAAAAAGATGAAGGGAGAAAAAAAGGTTTTCTAGGTATGATTTGTCGCTGGAGTCGGAGAGGAAATTGGTGTTTAAGTCACCGGAAATGATAATTTTGGAATAAAGGGGCACAAAGTTAAAGAGGAAAGTTCGAAAGACGGGTCAAACGGAACAAGAGGAGGACGATATACCACGGTAAAGGAGATGAGAGGTGTTACAGGAGATTTTGACGATCAAGAACTCGACTTGTGGCTGATCGGTTGGAGAAGAACGATGGAGAATTCGGGTCTTTAGGCTGGTATGAACGTACAGAGCTACACCTCCGCCAGTCCGGTTGTCCCGGTCATGGCGGATTAGGGTGTAGTTAGGAAGGGAGACTGAAGAGGAGGGGATGTAGGGCTTGAGCCAGGTTTCGGAAATTGCGATGATGTGGTAAAAGTTTTGGGTAAAATATTCTAGGAATTCATCGTAATGGACTGGAAGGGATTGGGAGTTGACGTGGCAGGAAGTTAGGACACTAGACATGAGTAGGATTTCGGAGAGGACATTCGGTATTTGATGGAAAGACGCTGAAAAAGATTAAATACATTAGATGATGTGAAGAAAAAATAAAGTAGAAAAAAGTATATAAATAATAAGTTAGTAAATAGGCTTGATAATATAATGTAAAATAAAAGATTTCCGATGAAGGTCCGGTGAGCGTGCCAAAATGTTCGTAGATGCTTGATGGTGAACGAGATTCAAGCCGTCATCCGAAGATGTCTAAGTCACACCGTCGTCTTTTCTACACCGCACTGTGCCGGAAGCGAACCAGGTATATTTTATTTTCCCCACGACTTTCTTCTGCCTTGCGAGCCAGTAGAGGTGCCTATTCTTAGGGGTCATCTCCTCGCCGAGATAGATACGATGGCAGTCATTCTCCTGCCAGCTTATATATATATATATATATATATATATATATTATATATATATATATATATATATAAGTATATATAAATATATATATATTGATCCTTGAAATAAAAAGGGGCGATATCTAAAACTTTTTAATTTGTACCAACTACTAGATAAAAAACAGGATGAGGTATTCATTAATTGTTTGAAGATCCAATGTCCTCTTATATGGCTTTGAAGAGCAATAATTCAGCTTTCCAACGGATATAATAACATTGAATTTGGAGAACATCTTGAGGAGTTATGAGTGATTTAGTGGATTAATGGTAAGCAGCAGAGGGAAAATTCCAACAGTGAAATGGTTTGTCGCTATGGTGATGATATTAGGATCCCTCTTACCTTCTTATATATTATTTCTCAAATATATATCCCTTTTCCGGCTCTCAGGAGTGATGGATTTTGATGAATGAAGTATCAATAGAAAGGGAATATCACATAGAGTGCGAGAATCATAATTTTGATTCCTAATTTTATACCTGGATTTAAATAAAAGTGGATGTAAAAGTAGGAGGTTTCAAACCATATGATGGTGCCATCTCAACGAATCAAGTTACAAATGAATTGATAATTTGGGAATAACTCGAAAAGGGCGCAATTTGGCCCTAATAAAAGCATACTAAATTCCCTACAAAATGAAAAAGAAATTATCAAAATCGGACTGTGTGGTGCAAAGATATAGCGTTCTAAACATTTAGTATTAATTCTACTTTAAAGATTTTTTTCTTTATTTCAGTTTTGGATTGCTCAAAAACTTTAAATCTATTGAAGTAATAGTTGCTTTCATCAAGTATATTTTAGTAGAATTTTATTTTTTCATTTAATCTTTACAATTTTTCAAGAGTATATATTAATAATAACATTTATAATATCGAGGAAAAAGCTTTATTTTACCCTTACATATATATATTCCATGCTTGGATCATTTAAATGAATTAAAGCATGGAATAAATATATAAGAGTAAAATAAAGCTTTTTCCTCGATATAAATTTTATTAGTAGAATTTTTTATTTAACAGAAAATGATATAAAGTATTCCTATGTAGAACAATATTAATAAACACTTTTAATAATGCATTATTCTTTTTCTTGTGAGAAAAGTAATATGTTATGTAGCACATATCTTATTTCTAATTATTTAGATATAATAAAATGTTGCGTAATAATTTTCAGCTTTATGATTTACAAAGTTACTAACTGTAGATAGGCTGAGATTAAAGCTGAATTATTGCTCTTCAAAGCCATATGAATGTTTTTTTTTTATTTAATGCCTACATAAGGCATATGCCTAAATAAATAAACAAAACCTCCTTATAGGTTTTTATTTTTTATCTCTATTTGTAGTTTGTTGAAGGTCCTGTTGATGTCATTTTGTGTAGTTTATGTGGCCCTAAATTCCTGCTCAATTTCTTGTAAATAACTAATGATGTATTGAAGTTATAACATTTTTTGTGATTTAAAAAAAAATTCAAAAGGGTCACCCTTAGCTCACATTTTGTGAAAAAAAATTTATTTTTCGTTTGCTATGAAAATTCATATTTGGTGGTTTTCTGAGATGCGAAATACATATATCAACTTGGTTTCTCCTTAAAAAAATATTTGAACCATCTTTGCTCACTGAGTCGGTACGAATTGTTCCATTTCAACATTTTCTTCATACTATAAAAATATGTCAGACATAAATTTGATGAAATTGAGCTCTCTTGAGTAATATAAGCCGAAAATAAGTGTAAAAAAAGAAAAAGAAAAAATATGCATTAAAAATATTTTATATGACAAAACTGTTATCGATTTTGATAATATATTTTTTTTTTTGTTTTTAGGGAATTTAGTAAGCTTTCAAATACTCATGTGTATAATGGGCCAAAATTTGCGTCCTTTTCAAGTTATTCCCAAATTATGAATTCATTTGTAATGTCTTGATTCGTTGAGACGGCACCATCATGTGGTTTGAAACCTTCCACTTTTACTAAAGTCCAGGTATAAAATTAGGAATCAAAATCCATCATTCCTGAGAGCTGGAAAAGGGATATATATTTGAGGAATAATATATAAGATAACATACAAGTTGCGAAGAGCAAGTGTTTTCAACAAAAACAAACATAACAATCAGAAAAATTGAAACTTTAATTTTTTTAAGATTATTATAAATAAAATCTTTATCTTCGTAACAAACCCGTTATTTGATTGAAAAAGTGATAATTTATGAAGTTCAAATGATGTATACGTAAATAACAGTTGGTTTTGGATTTACTATTTGTATAGATTTTTGTGAAATAATTTATTTTAAATTTTAAGGAGGTGCTAAAATATAAACTACCAGATAATTATTTCAGAAATATTGCTTAATTTTATTGAATGTTTGTTAATGAAAGTGCCAAAATAATTATTTCATTAGAAATTATTATTTCATGATATATTCTTTGAATTTGTTTAATACATACATTATTCAAACAGTTTCCAGACCTAAATTGAAATAATTATAGGAAATGAGAACACTAAATAATTTTTTGGACACTCGTGGCTTTTTAGATTGGATTTTTCCATTTATAACGTAATTGTCATTGTATGGGAATTTGTAATTGTAATTGTTCTTGTTTGTTATTCTTAAGGGACTAAACGTCCCAGAATTAAATTTACTTTCTTCTTCTTCTTAAACCCTCTCTCACTACTAAATTCAATCAACTACCCTACCACCATTTTTTTTTTATTTCCCCTACCTGCCATTTTTGGCACAGGTGGTTTCGGCAGTTGTTAACCCACACTAAAATACTTTATTATCAACATTTCTGATTATACAACATTAATGGATAGTATAATAATGGGAACAATACATTATGTTCAACTGTAGTGTGGTTTCACAGTTATGCACTTTACTGATTGGGCCGCACCTTTTAAGACTGAAAGCTCCTCCAAGGACATCATGGAAAAACTACCTATAAGCATCTGAAACATAGGTGATCACCAAAAAAGAGGAGACAAGGCTACTATCATTGGAGATGGGCTTTTGGAAACGCTGTTGTGCCATTTCCACACTACAGCATGTTCCCAACAAAAATATTAGGTAAAATGTGCAGCAGGGAACAACTATGCACTATGACATGGAAACAAAAAGACTGAAATGGTATGGCCATTTACAGAGAATTATGGAGGACCGAGAGCCAAAATTAACCTTTCTCTATCAACCAATAGAAAGGCGAAAAAGAGGACAACAAAGGAAGAAACGGTTGCAGGGTATGGAGGAAGGCATGGCTGCCAGAGGTATTAGAGAGAGAGAGAGACTAGCCAGACCGAAAAAAGTGGCTAAATCTATAGGATATGATAAATAACTAAGTTGTAAAAAAATTGTTAATAATAAAAAAATGATGATTGTCAGGGTTGGCCATATTCTGAAGATTGCCAACCTGCAATGGGTTATTCAAACTTACCTTTTACTTAATTAGCTTTTGAAAAGATAATTGTTTTCCTGCTCCCATGTCCTAAAAACTCTCCTGAATGGAAAAAATTTCACTACACAAGTAAGACCTATTATTTGCACCATTGCAACCCTTGAAGAGTATTGGGTTCAGTACTTCGTAAGAAAGTACTGTTTCTTGGTCAACAGTTGTGCAAGGAGGGCAACACTTAAACCTGAAGACATTATTAGATTAAATCCCAGACACTTAACGTGGATTATAAGAAGCCCAATATTTCCATCAGATTGTTCAACTAGTAGAGAGGTTTTGGCATGATTTCCTAATATGTCAAAGATGAAGATGGATTTCTGGATGTTTGGGTAGATGTTAACTTAATAAAATAGTTTTTTTACCTGATTTAAGTATTTTCCAGCATAAAATGTTTTATATCCATTTTCTTTTAAATATACAGCAAAAGTTCTTTTTTCATGGGATTTTTGCCATTCTATACTCGAACATCCACCTTCAATGGAATTATTGAAAACATTATGGTTATGTTGATATAAACCAGTTAATAAAGTAGATCTACTAGGGCAACATATAGGTGTGGTGGTAAACTGTTGAAACACAAAGTATTGTTATCAATAATTAAAACAAAATTAAAGAAATAAAAGAAGTAGTTAACAATAAAATTTACCTACAGCATTTGTAAAATCAATTCCTTCATTCTTTATTAATTTGTTTGTTTTTGTCATAGGAGCCTAAAAAAAATTAAATAAAAACATATATTTCGGAAGACTTGGAAAAAACAATGAGGAAAATGAGACTAAATATTTTTGGGAACATGAAAAGAATGAATCAACATGTTGAACAAACAAATATTTGATAAAGTGGTGGGACTAAGAAACATCAGATACCCTAAGACTAAGATATCCCAGTCAGATGAAAGAGGAAATAACAAGACTTATTAAAAAAAAAGAATATCAGGTGAAGGAAAAATTCAGAAAATGCATTAAGGTCATAAAGCACATTAAGGCTCAAAGTCACTTCCTTGATATTGCCTAACTTTGACTATTGCTATAGGGTATACGGGGGTGTCTCTGGAGATCTCGAAGTGAAACTAAAACTTTAGATAAAATACTTTGAACGATTCATCTTTGGGATCCCAAGGGATGCCTCTGTTTCCCGTATTTATGAAGAGTTGAAGTGGCTTTATCCTTCCAACCGTTGTATTTTCTGGCACCCTTCCTCTTTCAAGTCATCCAATCTCCCCATCCTTCATACATCTCCAAACTCCTTCAATTCAAATCCTCGATTCATTCCCGCAGTACCCACTCTAGGCCTTCAGATTTATATCCCTTCGTACATGCGTCGCTCCAATTCCCTCACTACCTATAAATCCCACCTGTTTAATAATTTGTTATCCACCCAGTCCCCATAAAATTGTAAATAGATATTACTATAAATGTGTAGATAAATTATTAGATCATTCTTAATTAGTTTTACTGACATTTTATAATTTTTTTTATATTATTAATTGATTAAAGTAAGAAAGTAACTGATACTTTTTGATTATTATTTATGTATATTTGAGACTCCTTAGCCCACATTTTCAGATTTTTGCATTATTATTATTATATTTATTATTAAATTAAATTTAATGTAATTAAAATATTATTATTATACTTTGTGGATGATAACATGTGGAAGAGGAAGATTAATGAAAATTCTTCTTTTCGTGCATCTCAAAGTTGAAAAGCCTCAATCTGTACTAGCAACTCCAATTCACTTGAAGTTTTCTTTCCTTTTTAGATGTCCAATCTGGTGGTATATTTATTGTATAATATCCTTTGTCTGGATCTGAGTCTTTCATTAATCAGTCAAATTCCACTATTTTTCTTAGGTCTCATGGATCCTGCATACATGTTTGGACCACTTTATTTGGTTCCCAATGGGAGATATGGCCAACTGCTTCCTTATTGTCTCATTCCTAATTTAGTCTATAATTCTCTTGTCTACTACAGGGAAAAGATTTGTTTCTTGGTATGTTAATTTGATTCCCTGAATTAAAGGGACAGCCTTAATTCAAGGCCTGCTATATAAATTCAATGGAACAGAGTAAAAGGCTTCTTTGAGGCAAAAAAAAATAGATATATATTTCTATATTTATCCCAACACTTCTCCATTATATTTGCAAACACAAAAAAATTGTCCTGAGGCAGCCTACTTGGCCAGAATGCCGCCTGTTCTTATAATACAACCTTTGTTCTCTCCAATTGATGAAAACCTATTTAACACCAATGCAGAATTTTCCAGCAGAATCGTTTCTCTGATCTCAGTATCGATGAGTCCATTTTTTATGTGTGCTCCTACATATTTGAACCTAGTCACGTTCTCCATTATTTTTTCATTTACAAAAGTTGTGGTCCCAGGCTTTCCTATCCTCATTATTTTAGTTTTTTCTTTATTAATATTCATATTTATTTTGATTAGCTCCTCTTTTAGGATCAATGTATTGGACTGGCTACATTTTAAGTTCAGCTTTCTTCATTGCTGAATTCAGAAGAAAACAAATATGAGAGGGATAAAACAACAACCCAGGTGAATGTACTTGATTGTTTCAAATTCCATAGAAGTGCAATTAAATGACCTCAGCATGTTTCTGTTTCATTTGTATGAGATTTCAATAGCCATACTGAATTACATGACCACTCCCAACTCTTCTAGGGCATCTAAATCATCCTTCCTCGCTTCGTCAAAGAATTCAGTTAGATCCACAAAACACATACTGAAAATGAGGTTCTGCACGCTCCTTTGAATACACAAACCATACAGCTCCTCATCTAAGTTACTGTCAAATATTAATATTTTTAAATGTTCATTTTTTCTTTTCAATTTCAAAATTATATATTTGTAATGTTTCCTTAATAAGTCTTAGACTGATCCATAATTTGTATATCGGTATTCTATCTGATTTTCTATATTTAAATTCATAATTTAACTTTAAATATCAATTATTTATTGTGAGATAACAACTATAATATTGTAAAGCTTGATGTGCCTTTTTTTTTACCAATAAGAAATTATCTGTTAAATAGAGTGATTTGATGAGCTGAAGGATATAAATCTGATTACCCCATAGCAGATATAATGGACTGATGATTAGAACTAGAAGAGATAAAAAATACAAGATGGACAGCAAAAGTGAATATATTGGCAGAGAAAAAATGAAAGAAAATACTTGAGATGATATGAAGGATAGAGAACTCTACAGCATAAAACATGAAAACAAAGAAAAACCTTGAAGCGCAAATATGTCATTGGGCAATTGTTTAAATTTGGCCATGAGATCACCAGTCATGCCATTCATACACAGCAAGGAAGTATTCAAAATAAAGAAACATTAAGAAAGTAAACAAGAGAATACAGGTTTCAGATGGAAAATGGCTAAAGTGACTAATGGACATTAAAGAAGAGAAAGTAGATGGATGAAATTGGACATGGTTTTTCAATGCAAAAAAAAAAAAAAAAAAATGCTATAAGATTTTTGATGGTTTGACAGAATTGTATTATATTGTTTCTTAGAGACAGTGGGAGGGAGTATAGTTTCAACAAGGTGAATCTCAGTTTCAGATTGTTCTCGAAACTCCAATAACACATTCTGTTGAGGTCTTCCTTGATTTTTTTCAAATTTACAATCGTTAGAAAGAATAGCAAGCAGGGTGCCATTTCATGAAATTCTTTGACTTTTCTGGGTCATTGTATCTGCATGGAAGAAAAAAAAAATCGAAGTTATCGAGAGTTATAATAGAATATAACTGATCTTTATTTATGATAATTTTACATAATTGGAACAACATTTGACATTTCAAATACTGGAACCTACAGTATTAGAGGCCATATAAAAAAAAATCATATTTTTTTATTATATACCCATAAGTTTGTAAACTACCAAACAAAAATTAAACCACTTTTCTTTGGCATACAAAATAAAAATATCAAAGCAGTCTCTTTGATCCAAAAAGAATTTAACAAAGTCATTAACAATACTGACTTTGATACTTATTCTAATATTTGATTCTTATTGATAATAAAATCTGAACACCATTAATGTAAATGCCAAACAGACTGAGGATAAAGAAAAACCATTAAAGACAGAATAGACCGAACTATCTGTGACAATAACACAAAGCAAACATTTTGAAAGAAAAATGTTCGACCAGGTATATTAATTAATAAATAGGTGTTTTTATCAATACTAGTGGAAGTATACAAATATTTATGTCTTAAATAAGAAAATCAGAATAATAGTAAATATTTGGTTAGCTTGAAAATGTTTCAAAAGTTTTCACCAATAAAGAATTTGTCAAGTAAATTCTCTCAAAATATGTCATCATATCTTTCTAAAACATTAATTCGAAACAAACATATATATGATGGCACACATTGAAATGACTTTACTAATTTGTGTTTATTCTTTACCTACTGCACCCTTTACCAACTTCAGCAACAATTTTAAGGTCAACCATACCTCCACTGACTTTAATAATAGTTAAACTAATTATTTGAGGTGTTGAAAGAAATTTACGTAAACGATTAATTTTAGCTTCACTTAATATAGAATAACCTCTGTAATTGTATTTAAATGTCAAATTGGCTTCCAAATCAGTAGAGCAACAAATGACATGTCAAATCACATATTAATGTAAGTACTCTTAGTAGTGGTAAATGCGTTCCATTACTTCAATAGTAGACTTACCATGCCATTAAGAACAATATCTTGGTCATCAGTTACAAAAAGGACAATATTAGGTAGTTTTTTAGCATGAATCTCAAAAAGAAATGAACAAACTATCAGTATTTGAAGAGAGTACGACATTCCAGAAGTCTAAAATAAGGAAAGAACCGTCAAATTCATTAATAATACATATTGAAAACTAAATACGGAAAGAGACAAAAAAAAAATTATTCAGTTGATATAAAATTTTATTTGAAAACGAACAGGAAAACTACAGCGTAGGAAAGTATCTAGGATTAATAGCAGTCCTTAAATATTTTGATCACAAAATCATCAAGCAATGATCACTGTCAAAACCATTAAGCTGAGATAATTTATTTATCTTGACTATTGACAACTTAAAATACGCGTAACCATCTAAATTCAATCACGAATGCATCATCGCAAACAAATATATATTGCTGTAATAAATTAAATTTTGAAGTCATATTGATTTGAGGATAAGATTCTAAAACCTCCTGACAACATTTTTGCAAATGAAGTGAACTTTAGGTAGCTGAGTATTTTTAGTTAGAATTCTGTATCCAAAGTATTAAGTGTCCAGTCCAACAGGATTGTCTTTAACTTCAGAGGAAATCGTTGTCTATCTGTGCTGGATTCAATTGATTGATGGATTCCACCGATGGGTTAATCATTAAGTTTAGAAACTTAAATACATAAAAACCTTGCGATGCATAATTAAATAAATGAACAGTCAACTTATACAACGATAGATGTGTTGTTTACTTCGAAGTCGAAAAGGTTTAAAATGGAGAATTTTATGTCAGCAATGAATTAATGCAAATCGACTAGTGACAACCTAGTTGTTCCATTTACATAGATAGCCCGTGCAAAAAAAAATTGTCATTATCTGAAGAAAATTTTAAAAGCATTTTTTTTTAATATTCATATTATTATATTTAAAAAATGAGAGTGAAAAGTTTTAATTTTTTATCTAGCAGGCCACCAAGGGAAAACTTTTTACAGCTAAAAAAAAGCAAGATTTTTTAAAAATATTTTATACACCTGTAACTCTAAAAAAATGCATCAAACAGATAAATACACTCTTTAAGAAATCAGAGAACGTTAAATTGTTCTCTAATGAGTACCTAAACTTAATGATTGGTTAAGTGGTATGACCAATAACAAAGGTAAACGAACGCTGGTTTTTATCAAATTTGTTAAAAACTGATAAAAATTACTAGAAAACGTCACTTACTCCGTTCGTAATCTATCATCTCTCGATGGCTGGAATTGGGAATTAAGTTATCTCTAGTTTAACTGTTTCAACAGTATGGGTGTCTGATTTATTCTTGTTTAGAGTCTGCTATGTACAGTATAGGACTTTTTTACAAGTTTGCATTAAAGCCAATCTAAAGGGACTGGGTTTAGACGGCGAACGGTGGAGGGAGGTGTGTAATAAGCGATTGGTTGTGTCGGCATCGAACCTTAGGGTTCGCTAAGCCTTTTGTTATTATTATGTCTTCGCTAAATTATATCATTCGAATCAGGATTCTTTAACGATGAGGGACCAACATTAAAACTGTTGGATCCGATTGAACATGGAAATTTGATGCTCAAAAACTTTTATTCTATGAGATTTTTCTCTTAGGAAACTCTCATAGAATAAAAAAAATAAAAAAAAAATGGTAAAACCCAGCGTTTGTTGACGGTGGTAAATGACCATACTACTGTTGGGCTGCCATGCAGTGTGGAAGTCCTAACGGTCCGTCCGTGTTTCTTTAAAATTTTAACTTCTGTTAAAGTGTTATTTAGGTGATTTAAACATTGAAATTTGTTTATTAAGAGTGCCTGCATCTATAGTTGAAATCCTGTGCAGATTTGACAATATGATATATTCATACCAACCCTCCTAAGAGGGATCCCCTATCACCCACCCGGGGGACGCGCTCTCTAGTGGACAGGTTCCACCGAGAGGAGATCCCAAATGTCCCATGATGGGCACAGGTCCGTCCAGGCAGTTTACCGTGGCTTTTCTCACAAATGTATGGTCATTATCATCCTGTGATGGATCATCCCTGGGATATGTCTTTTTAATAAACATCTTTGCTGTTTCCTCTAGAGTGGCTGAATGAGTGCCCCATTGCTTCAGGGCTGCAATGACTTGCTGTGGGGTCAGTTTTTCAAGGGCCACCCTGTATGGGATACCCCAGGGATTCTTCGCTGACTCTTCCTGGATGAATTTATCCCATGATCTTCGTTTCTAAGAGCGTACCTCATACCGGTATACCCTAGCCTTGTAGAGCTCTCTCTTCAGGGTGGTTAAGGCCGGCGACCACCATGGGACAGGTCGTTCTCCCGCTTTGCGGTGCTGGAGGGATTCTTCCGCAGCATCCCTAATGACTTCGGTAATCCTGGATACGCTGAAATCAAGGTCATCCGTGTATTGTTAACATTCGCGGGGTCCCACTCTTCATCGACTAGCTTCCCCTCCAGCGCTGGCCGGAAGAAGCTAAATTTTTCTCTTCGGGTTACATATCCTCTGTCTATACCATAATTATTAATATCCTCTAACGTTAATAAGGTATAAGCGGACCCTACACGGTCATTCGGAATTGCACTAATGACGTTTCGAATCATCGTGTAAGGTAGTGAATGAAGTGCTGATAGTGGTGCGCTGCTGGTTTCCGAACATCCGGAAATCAAAGGTTCATTCACGAGAAGTGGAGGGGGGACTGAGGTAAAAGTAGTGGGGAGACTAACCATACTTAGTTACCTAGGCCTCACAACCATTATAAATTTCTTATTTTCATTATATGTAAATAGTTAAATAATTTTTCATATCCATTGTTTATAATTTTAAACCATCTTCAACTATTTCTTTTAAATAGTCAAGTGGGCAACACATTTTTAAAAAAATGAGGAAACTTCACAATTTACTTTAAGAAAAAAAAAACTTTAACGTTGAGTATATTCATCAGTTCTTTTCCGATTTTCCTCAACAAATTTATTATTTTCGCAATACCTTTCCTTAATTTTTGTAAGTAGTAGACTTATATTTTACTAACTTTTGTCAAAACTATTTTCTATGAGACTGACCTTACTACTAGATAGGTTAGTTTACCTAGTCTCGTTATTAAGTAAATAATTTCATAAAAGTAAATAGTTTTGTTTATATCCTAGTCTATATTAATTATTAACCATTTTCCAACTATTTTTTCTTTAAATAGTCATGTAGGCAATAAATTGAAGAGAAAAAAAGTGGAAACTTCACAATTTAATTTTTTTTTTTTTTTTTTTTGATTATTTATATATTTGTTTATTTAGAAATATTACATTCTGTCACATCAAGGACATTTATAATAGTGTTCAGAGGAAGCACACTCACACTCTATTTACAATAAAAAAAATAAATAATACAGAAACTAAATAATAATAAATACAATAAAATAAAATAAAAATAAATACAATAAAAAAGTAAATATGTATATAAACAAAAGAACTAACCTAATCATACACACTCGGGCTTGAGTGGAGGATCTGGCCATTGCCAAAACTCCAATAGATGCTTATTACAAAAGGCTCTGGGCCACTGCCGCTTCAACCTTCGAGGAGGATTGTAAGGATGGGTGGTGCTGGATAGAGATTGTGCAAGGGGATTTGGATGATAGGTAAGGTTCTGGTGAAAATTTGGAGATTGAGAATTTTTCTGGAATAAGGTCTAGGACAAATGGGATATTAAGGTCATGGTGTAGGATTTTGTTATTTACATAGAACGGAGCATCAACTATTGTTCGAAGGACTTTAGATTGAAAGGATTGAATACGTTTGATGTTAGAAGCTTTTGCTGTCCCCACACAGTTCAAGTCCGTATGTCCATATAGGTTTCAGTATTGTCTTGTAGATAAGTAATTTGTTTTCAATAGAAAGTTTGATTTTCTGTTTAGTAGTCTGTATAGCTGGCCGTATCGTCGGTTGAGTTCTTGTCTTTTGAGTCTAGTATGTGGGTTCCACGTTAGTCTTCGGTCTAAATGAAAGCCAAGATACCGGACTGTGTCTGAGTAAGGAAGCTGGATGGAATTAAAGTGTACTGGTGGACAGGAACTGCGTCGGAGTGTAAAGGTAATATGTTGGCATTTAGATTCATTAACTTTAATGCGCCAGTTATTACACCAGTGCTCAATCAAGGTGAGGTGGTTTTGGAGATTTAAGGATGCTATGTTGGGATCAGAGTTGGATGATAAGATTGCGGTGTCGTCAGCGAATGTTGCAAGAAAAGTATCGGGATGAACAGGGATGTCAGCAGTAAAGAGGATGTAAAGCACGGGACCCAAGACGCTGCCTTGGGGAACACCGGCTTTAACGGAGTAGATATTGGAAAATTCTGTTCCACAGCGAACTCGGAAGGAGCGGTCAGAGAGGTAGGATCGGAGGACTAGGTACAAGGACTGAGGTAAATGGATTTTAAGCTTGAAGAGCAGTCCGGAGTGCCATACCCGGTCAAATGCCTGTGCAATGTCCAGAAATGCACCCGAACAGTATTCCTTGTTTTCTAGGGCTGAGGAAATATGATCAACAACTCGGAGTCCTTGTTGAACAGTAGAATGTTGGGAGCGAAAACCAAACTGATGGGAAGGAATATTTTGGGATTCTATAATGGGTAGGATTCGTTTCAAAAGGATCTTTTCAAAAATTTTTGAAAGGATTGGGAGTAGGCTAATTGGTCTATAGGGTTGAGATATTGGGAGGTTTGCCTGGTTTTTGGAAAAGGATAATAGTGGAGTGTTTCCATAGCAGAGGAAAGTGGGTGGTGCGTAGGATAATTGTAGATATATGTAAGGAATATGACTGCTTTGGATGGAAGTTGTCGAAGGATTTGAGGGGTAAGGAGATCATGTCCAGGAGCTTTACGGGGGATTAATTTTTTTAATTGAAATTTCACTTCGGAAGGATGAATAGCTTTTGGGGGCAAGGAAAGTGGGATTGGTGATGTAAGGAATTCTTCTACTGTTACGGTGTGGGCAGGATGGGATTCCGGATGTGAAATAAATGTATTGGATAGGTGAATGGCGAACTCCTCAGCCTTATCTTCGTCAGATGCTGCCAGGAGCCATCATCTCGTCGGAGGGGATGGGAAATGCGGTGAGGATTTAAGATTTTGGTAGTGGTTTTCCAAAGGGAATTGTCGCGAGAAGAAAGGGAGGATAGGTAGGAGTTGAAGGAATGTGATCTGAAGGTGGCTAATTCCAGTTTTAATTTTTTGCAGTAATAATTATAGGAGCAGCGGTCGGTAGGATGTCGGTAATACGGCGTTTGGTTTGGATTAGGTCAAGGAGGTGTTGGGGTAGAATGGTCTTTTTAGGAATTCTGGAGGAGTCTTTTGGGAAGGAAGCAGTCCAGGCGGCTTGTTGGATTGTGGTAGTAAAGGAATTTACGGCACTATCAAGGTCATCGGGAGTTTTGAGGGATATGTTAAGATCAATTTTATCGGAGATGATTTGGCGGAAAAGGTCCCAGTTAACTGGGCCCCTAATAAATGACGGTGGAGAAGGTTTGGGAACGGGTTCAAGTGAAACATTAAGGATTAGAGGACTATGGTCAGAGGAAAGTTCATTTAGACGTGTAATGGAACAATTGAGGGGACTTAAGCCGCTGTGGATAAAGAAATCAAGAAGATCAGGATTACGGTTGGGATCTGTAGGCCAGTAGGTAGGAGAGTTGGGGGAAAGGAGGTGAAAATGTTGGGAATTGAGTGCAGACAGCAGGGTTCGGCCACGAGTATTCGTGGTTCTGGAACCCCATTGTTGATGTTTGGCATTTAGGTCTGCACCCAAGATGAAGTGATGTCCTAAGGAGTCGAGGAGAGAACGGAATTGGGCATTGGATATGGATCGGTTAGGAGGGCAATACGCTGATGCAAGGGTAACCGGAAAGGAAAAGGTTTTTATCACGATAGCGGTGGACTGTAGGAAATCATGTGTAGGTAACGGGAGTAGGTGATGGGAGAGGGATTGGTGTACAATGACAGCAGTACCGGCATGTGCTTTTCCGTCAGGGTGGTCAGTACGATATGTCAGGTATTGTGGTATTTTGAAGTGCTGTTTAGTGGTTAGTCGAGTTTCAGTAATTAGTGCCACGTCAATATTTTTGTCAAGTAATAATGTAGTTAGTTCGTTTGTGTGATTTCTAACACCATTCGCATTCCAAAGGAGAATGGATAAAGGTTTATTGGAAGTCATTTAAGGATTTTTCGCGGGAGGGATAAAATGTGATACAAGATTGGTGAGAAGAGATATCAAAGGAGTAACAAGGGATCTGAATTCGGAGAGGAAAGATGTAAGTAAACTGGTGAGATCTGTGGTATTTGAGGGAGGAGGAATGCGGGGAATTTGGTGTTGATAAAACTGTTGATTAGGTGAAGTTTGATTAGGATGTTGAGGGTGGGGTTGAGAATTTTGAGGTATGTGTTGTTGTTGCGGCAGGGTCTCACAATAAGTAACATCATTCTTACCTCCTAATAAGTGTGCAAAAGACACCGTTGGGTCAATTTTTTTTAAGGTCCTCTTCTTGATGCGTTAGGTTCTCTTCTTGATGCCTCTGCTTCTTCTTGGGTCCGGGATTTTTGATATCTTGATTTAATATTCTTGTAGATCTGACAGCCTTTGTAGTTCGCTGGATGTCCTTCAAGGCACAATGCACAAACTGCAGGATCCCGTTTCGGTTTTGTGCACTCCCCGGATTTGTGCTGCTCTCCACATTTCACACAGCGCGGCAGATGATGGCAGTAAGTCCTGGTATGGCCATATGCCTGGCAATTGTGACACTGTACGATTTCCCTCTTAGGATATGGCTTCTCTACTATAACACTTGTGTAGTATATTCTTCTTATTTCGTATATTTTTTCGATCCCTTGATTTGGCTCCAAATCTACGAAAAATAAGGGTAGAGGAACTTTTACTCCTGGCTGTTCTTTACTCTCCTTCTGTACATTTGTAATCTGGCGCACTATGAAACCTGAAGTTTTCAATTCTTCTTCTATTGCTTCGGTTGGTGTTGAGGGGTGTAGATTTCTTATGACTACCCTCAAAGCTCGATCTTGCCGTAATTGGTACGTATGAAAATCCGCGTTGGTTTCCGTTAGATACTTCACAATTTTTCTGTAGGTTTCAGCTGTATCTGGTGATATCTTCGTGTCCTTTGTTCTGCTTAGACATGAATAGCTTCCAGAGCCTGTTATTTTGTTCAGTTGTGAGCATAGTAACTGAAAATTGTTTATGTTTTTAACGAATATGGGTGGAGGTCGGGGATCTCTTGGTATTGAAGCGGATTCCATCACTTCTTTATCATTCTGAAGCACCTGATAGGGGTTAGGGGTGAAAAACGGAGATTGTTCGGTTATCTCTTGTGAAGATGTACCTGGTTGATGCTGAAGTTCTTCAATTGTTGGTTTTGATGATGTTCCTGGCTGGGTTTCATTTTCTCTGGAGCTAATAGGCGTTACTGCAGGTGTTTGACGACATTGACGAGGCTTTTGTTTGACAGGCGAAGAACAAGGTGTTGAGCCTAACGGCCGAATTCTCTTGATAGAAGCTCTACTAGACATGGCCTGATTGTGATATCGCATATAAGGGAAAAAAAAATAAATAAATAAAAAAAACCCTATAATTTATAACAACAATAAATATCAATTGTTGTTATGTACCTTACTTGTTTTGAATAAATAATCTCAAAGATTTCACTGGAAAATAAGCAAATTCTGAGAGACGATGTAGAAACACGACCTTTCGCATCAGCTGATCCACTCACAATTTACTTATAGAAAAAAAATCTTTAACTGTTGTGTTTATTTGTCATTAATTTTGCCATTTTTCTTAACAAATTGATTATTTTCGCAATAATTTTCCTAGATTTTTTTTATGTAGTTGACTTATATTTTTCTAACTTTGGTCTAAACGATTAAGCAAAGGGTCTTCATGATCAAAGCGATACCGAGCAATCTTGGCACTTCTTGTGACGTTCATTCATGAATTACCGTGTAGGGTCCGCTTAGTACTTCTTCTTCTTTTGATCTGGATGCTCTTGATTGATACACGAGATCAGAGCACTCTGTAGAAAGGTAGTATAACCATTAATCAGTGGTCTTTTGACATTTTCAAAATGAGTAAACGGTATAAGCCTGACCAAAGTACTGTGTATGTTTCTAATTTACCTTACCACCTTACGAATAATGACCTACATAAACTATTTAATAAGATAAGAAGAGTTATTAAGTAAGTATTTTTTTTGTAATAATCTTATGTACAGATTTCAACAGCACAAACATAACTTAATTTTTTGTAATGAATTGATGTTGTGGTTTTATTATGAGTTTGGTTTATCATAAATATTTGTTTGCGGTGTCATTTAATTTGTATTTTTTTTTTAATTTATGGTTTATAGGAAATAAGAGACCAATAAGTGAATTTGAATTGATTTTTACACTGTTTGTTACAAATTAATGAATATTAATGATCATTTTCAATAAATAAATTTAGTTACAGCCCAGTGATCAAGCCCTATTCATAAATCCTTTGTAGGGTTTCTGACTTGAAGGATATACTTTCTGTTTTGATAGTTTCTACTAAAAATTGTATCAGGTGAAAAATATATTCATTAGTCAGGAAATCATATAGCTTACATTACCGCTAATCATTTATTTATTTTTATGTACCAATAATTACATTTTGATTATGTAATTAATGTCCTAACTGAAAAAATTACATTTTCAAAATAAAATATTCAACGGTTGAACAGCAGCATCATTTTATTTCTATTACCAGAAATAGGAACCTTGGACAAAAATTAGGGTAAGCGCAGACTTTTCATTCTGGTTAAGGAGGGCGATGGACCTCACATAAAAAAATCTCGGAAGTTTATATTTTGAGTGGCAATAAGATAATCAACATAGTCATTGTAAAATGAGTAATATAATACCATTTATAAAAAACATGTATGTATGTGGTTATATATTAGTTTCTTTTTACATATGGGTTATGGGTATATTTGAAAATACATTAAAAAAAACAATTAAATATATTACATATTTTTATTTAAAGATTTAATTTTTATTTATTGGGGGAACCCATTAAATGTGAGAGATATAAGATTCGTTACTAATCAAATCAGAAAAAATTCTCGATGGAGCATGTCTTAAGGATTCTGTGTAATTCCATAAGACTTCTGAATGCACTGTCTGTATTAACTTTTCTTTCTCTTCTAAAAAAAAAAAAAAAAAAAAAGATACCCTCATGAAAGAGTAACTTGAATATATTCTTTCATCGTTTAAGTCAATAAGAAAAAATGTTTGTATCCGTGAGCAATTTTTTAAAGGAAGCTTGGTGAATTTTAGAGTGATGTGATGCTTTCAGATGAGTCATTTAAAAATGCATGGTTCTGATGCAAAAATTATGATTTAGTGGAAACTTACCTCTCTATCTAACGAAAAAAATATGCATGGGACAGTTAAATGTGAATGTGAGTCAGTGATGGTTTGGATCTTTTTCTTTGATGGGGGAAGATGGCCTTGTTTTCTGGAGAGAACCATGTATTAAATTAAATACATAGATATTGCCAGAAAAAAAAAGATAATAAAATAAGTGATACCACATTGGGATAAATTCTATCAAAGCAATGACCCTAAAAATACAGCATCCTGACTACTAAGTCTTGGCTGTTGTACGATTGCCCTGAACTTCTGGAAACTTCTCCAATCGCCCCAATGAATTAATTAAAACTTTGTGGGCTATAGAAATATAAAGAAAAGTTTGTAATAAAGTACCTTTTCAAAATAAAAATAATCTAAAAGAAATATTAATTTTTTAGTGAACCCAAATCAAACAATTATTAAATTGGTTAAATCAATGCCTAAAAGAACATAATGTTTAATTAAAAATCTCGTGTGTACACTCACACGACTTTCCTACCTATTTCAGAAAAGTTTTTATATCTTTACATACGTCTATAAAGAAACTAAAAATAAAATAAAATGAATTAGATTTATTTTCCTGAAAATTGATCAAAGAAAAGATTTGAGTACGATTTATTTGATAAGCTAAAGCAATATAAACCGGCTTAAGGTAGATCAGTGTCAAAATTTCATTACTCTAATATTGCTGATCAAAAACTTTTTGCCATAGCCTAATTTTGTCAAACAATAACTTCTGTTGAAAGTAGAAGAAATAGTGAAGCTTGTGTGATGCGGGCAACAGATTTTTTTAATTTCACTTACTTATCTTTTTTCTATCATTCATCCCTTTCTGACACCTGGATATGTACCCGTAACCTTACATTGGAAATTTAATAGCTGTAACTTCGTTAATAGTTATCTTAAATGAATGATTTTTATATAGTTTTGTAGGGAATTTCATTACCTTTAAAAAAAAACAGGCTGAACAGTGTTTTTCAGACTTAGGGGGCTCTTAAACATATAGATCTGTCGAAAACCGCATATCGGAAATTTGACCTGATCATGATATTTCCTAGATAGGAAAGTAATAAATTAAAGCGTGTAGAAAATAGAATACACTGTGTCATTTTTAATACTGGTTCAATTCCGATGATTTTTTTTTTTTTTGTTTTGTTGGTAATTTAATTACCTTTCAAAAGTTTTATTATAAATTTTACCATAGAATACATACTTAGCCAGTTAGGCCCAAAACATTTTTCTTTTCTTTATAACTTTTTTTCCTGAATTTTTTGGGAATTTAGGCAATGTATGGAAATTGAAAGGACAATTATTAGAATATTATAGGAAAGTTTCATCATAATCGTTAGGGCCGTTTTAGTGCTACAATCTATAGAAAAACATTTTTTATTTATTGCGTATGAAGGATCCAATTTGTGTCACAGGCATCAGTAGTCAAAACCCCACAAAGTAAAAAAAGAAGCAACAAAATCGTTCCACTAGTTTCTGAGAAAATCTTGGCACAGGCAGACAGACCAGTGGCTAAAATGTGTTTTTTGGACTCAAGGAGCTCTGAAATGTATGGATCTATCAAAAACTGCTTTTCGGAAATTTGACCCGATCGTGATACTTTCCTTACCTATTATAAGTAGGAAAGTAAAAACTAATATTGATATTTTGCTACTAAATTAACTTAACTAATTATTTGAGAATATTTTTGACACTTCTATGTTTATAATATTTTTTGTTTCATGTCAAAAATGTATAAAATATGGTTAGCTTTGTCATATTCCCTAAATCTCACGAAAATTCATAACTGTACTTAATCAGCTACTAAGATTCTGTGATTCCATTTCTCAAATATCTGTCATCTTCTTGTATCCTCTCTTGTTTTTCCCTTCTTCGACTTTTGTTTCTTGGTGTAGAGGGCATCTGCTAGGCTTGGAATGAACCTTAAGAAATAATTAGACGTGTAAGATTCATCTTTGGGTTTTCCCAGGCGCTCTCATGTTTCTTGTTGGTTTATGCTGTTGATAATTCTAAGGACTTGAAAAGAAAGACCCCAAAAAGGGATTGCTATCATTAGGTAGGATAAAGCCACTTTCTGTGTTGAAGTGGCCTTATCCTTCATACTGATGGCAATACCTTCTTGGTGTCTTTCTTTTATGCTCTTATAAACAACAAAACATTGACCAATTCTATGACTTATATCCTAAAATAAAGTTATTTTTTCATTCTTTCTTTTATTATCCTCACTCAGACCTTTTCTTGTTTTCATAACATTGCTAGTTTCTTTTGGTGATACAGAAGGAAAGCTATAGATTCATTCCATATTAAATATTTTATTTAAAAACTCTGAATGAATAGAATAAATTTAAAGTCAAAATGAACTTACTCTTTCTTTTTATGTTTATGAATTATAGCACCTATTTAACAGTCCTGTCAGTTTCCAATTATAGCACCAAATAATGGTCTATATATTTTTTTACTTTCACTTACCTATGTATGAAATATATAATAATAATAATAATAAGGCTTAGCGAACACGAAGGTTCGATGCCGACACCACCAATCGCTTGTTACACACCTCCCTCCACCGTTCGCCGTCCAAACCCAGTCCCTTCAGATCGGCTTTAATGCAATCTTCCCACCTTCGCTTCGGTCTACCCCTTGGACGCTTACCATTCGGCACAGCAAATATTAACCTTTTGGGAATTCTCTCGTTACTAAGCCCAACAACTTTACAAGCCCATTTGATTCGCTGCGATGAAATTACCTCAATTATATTACCCGGATACAGCTCATGCAATTCGGCGTTGTGTAACCGTCTGAACTCTCCGGTTAACTCATCCTTCTTCGGTCCAAATATTCTACGCAATACTTTATTTTCAAAAACCTTAAGACGCTGCTCATCCCTTAATGTAAGCGGCCAAGTTTCGCATCCATAAAGAACTGTAGGCAAGATAATTGTATGTATGAAATATATAGTAAAAAAAAAAAAAAAAAAAAAAAAAAAAAAAAAAAAAAAAAAAAAAAAAAAGCACTGTTTCCTGGTCTGCAATTGTGCCAGGTGATTTGACCGAGATCACACTCCACCGCAAGGTTTTTCCCCTTAATCAATTATTTTAATTGAGGGTACCCACTTTATAGAGGATGGGTGTGCCCCTGCAGGGTGTTCCTACCCAGGTCGCTCAGGGACCTTTAGCATTGAAAGCTCAGTACCCTACCACTGAGCTACCCCACTCCCCATGAAATATATAGTAAGGGTAAGAATTGCGATCGTGAAAATTTTTTAATCTGAACTTTCAACAGAAATACATGTTTTGAGGTCTCCTGAGTCCAAATAACCAAGTCAAAATGATCTGTATGTGTGTGTGTGTGTGTGTGTGTGTGTGTGTGTGTGTGTGTGTGTGTGAACAGCCTAGCTCAAAAAGGGAAAGTCGTTCAAAACTGATATTATGTATTTACGATGGGTATATACCTTAGATGTCACAGCAACGGCTAACCGGAAGTGCCACTTTATCAATGGTGAAATACATTTTTACAATTTTCTCAAAAACAGCTCTAATGATTTTGATTAAACTCGGTGAAGCATTGTATAATTAAGTGGTCTTTAATATCATTTAGGTCTTATCCCCATTGGTGTCACATTACAGGGTTTAAATGACCAATTTTCGTATACGTCTTCCTCTAAAGTACCATTAATATAATTTATTTTAAAAAATTAACTCTGTTTTATTGACCAAAACTATAAAAAAATGGCTAAATATGAAGTTGAAAAGAGATGATAATTGGAAACTGGAGAAAAAAAAAAAAAAATTGTTATTC